GGGGGGTGATTAGTGACAGAGTGAGGGGGTGACAGGTGGCAGAGTGAGGAAAGGAAGGGGTTACTAGTGACAGAGTGAGGGGATGACTGGTGACCAGTGACAGAGGGAGGTGGTGATTAGTGACAGAGGGCGGGATGGGGTGACTATTGACAGTCACCACCTCCCTCACTCTGTCACTGTGTCACCCCCTCCCTCTGTCACTGGTCACCAGTCATCCCCTCACTCTGTCACTAGTAACCCCTTCCTTTCCTCACTCTGCCACTAGTCACCCCTTTCCTCACTCTGTCACCTGTCACCCCCTCACTCTAGTGACAGAGTGAGGGAGGTGGTGATTAGTGACAGAGTGAGGGAGGTGGTGATTAGTGACAGAGGGCGGGATGGGGTGACTATTGACAGTCACCACCTCCTTCACTCTGTCACTGTGTCACCCCCTTCCTCACTCTGTCACTAGTCACCCACTCACTCTGTCACTAGTCACCCCTTCCTTCCTTCACAGTGACAGAGTTAGGGAGGGAGTGACTAGTGACAGTCACCCCCTCCCTCCCTCTGTCACTAGTCACTCCCTCCCTCTGTCACTAGTCATCCCCTCACTCTGTCACTAGTCACCTCTTCCCTCCCTCACTCTGCCACTAGTCACCCATTCCCTAACTCTGTCACTAGTCACCTCCTCTCCCTCCCTCTGTCACTAGTCACCCACTCCCTCACTCTGTCACCAGTCACCCCCACTCACTGTGTCTCCCCCTCACTCTGCCACCACTCAACCCCTCCTTCCCTCACTCTGCCACCAGGTACCCCCTCACTCTGCCACCTGTCACAACCTCCCACACTCTTCCACCTGTCACATATGCATTCACACAGACACTATATACAAAAAAGCACATGTAGTCATCCAGACATGCACAAGTGCATTCACACAGACCCAAATACAAACATGCATTGATACACAGGTCTTCACAATATACACATCCAAAGGAATGCCGTATTATGAGTTATATTTAACATTTATTTAATGCACGTATATTTGGCCTTCAAAGGGCCTGGGATCTAATTTTGCCCGGGGGCCCCAAAGGCTCTCAGTCCGCCCCTGCCTACCAGTCAAGGATTTAGGGATTACCCAGGTGTTTTTACAAAGAAGAAAAAAAACACCTTAGACACAACTGGGTAATCCCTAAATCCTGGACTGGTAGGTGTGCCTTGAGGACTGGGTTGGGAAACACTGCTCCAAACTATTCTTGAGAACAGAAGAACATCCGAGCACTCAAATTTTTTTGTGCAGCTTTTATTAAAAACTGCAGGCTAACAAGTAACATTTTAACCAAGCAAGACCTTTGTCAAGACTTTCATTTCTTTACTTGAGAAATCACTGTGTGGCAATATCCCAATGAGTAACACCAAATATGACAAATACTCTAACACCTTATGTGGGTATTCCCTTTATCCCCACATAAACATAGAAATATACATACAATATATGACTATGGACTTAATTCAGATTTTGAACTGTGTCATTTTTAAATAATTACTTTTTTTATATTTTAATATTTTATTGGTTTCTTATGTTGCTCTTAATTGATTTTAATTTTTGTATTTATATCAATGTATTTCTAAAAATCTGTTCTTCTAATACTATTACTCATAATGATGCCTTCTTATTATTATACATATTGCCATAAGTTGCCTATTATTTTAGAGGTAAATGATTTAATATATAAATATGGAACATGTCTCTTCACTTTATATACAAAAACTGAAATATTTCGCTTAAATACGAAAGACTGGACTTCAAAACGCAAGTAAGCGTCTCAGAGCATGTCACATGACGCCTGCGTTCCACGGAGCGCGTCACGTGATGTTTGCGTTCCACGGATGGAACGCAAAAGCCGAAAGCGGAAGTGGAAACCTAATCACGGCTGCCGGGGACGCCGAAAAAAAAACGCCAGGGGGATATTTAAAACGGACTACCCAGGAATGGAAACCAGCAACTGAGGAAGCCTCTAAAAGAGGCGAAATGCGTTTTGCACTTTACACAAGGACTACCTTTTAAACTGTAAGGTTTTCTATTTTTTTTAATATATTTTATGAAATTTTTGTGCACTTTCAAAAAAAAGGACTTTATTTTCTGCTACACCTTGAGAAGATATCCTATCATTTGGACACCCCAGATAGTAGCAAGAAGGAAGTGGGTCCCTTTAGTACCCACAGAGCTGCATCTTTGAGTCTTTCTAGTGGCTCTGTGTTTGTGAGTGCTTTATCACTTATCTATCATATATTGCACTGATATATTGTGAACTGGCTATATTGCACTATTTCTCTTCTTATTTATGTTTTATTTTAGGGAACTACTAAAGGACATTATTTTATTTTATCTCTCATTGGAAGAATTATTGCTTACATACTCCACCTTATATTGTATGTATATTTCATTACTTGAGCCTATGTACATCACACTTAATAGTCTACAATAAAAATTAATATAATAAGTAATCATTTGCAAAGATAATCACCCCATATAGGAACAGTGCCATTCTGCACCGTAGATTCTATATTCTCTGTAACTCTGCTTTTTATTCTTAGTTTGTGAGGCAAAGCCAATGGCCTTGACCATAATTCTGTCATTTTCTCGGGGTAACTGGCAGGGGACTGTTCATAAAAAGGAAGGAAATTAGGAAGTCTTTGCTTGAAGCTTCTCCAATGTTTGCTGTGATCTAGAAAGTCAGGTACAGAGGAGGCAATCTGAATGTCATACAAAGATGATTGTCCATGATAACAGCTGTTTGTGAATTGGCTTATTGATATGATATTCTTAGGATTATGGAGCTCATTGCTTTGTTTAAAAGAACTGAATCGTTCCTTATTTGTATCATCATCAGAAATAACTAAGTCAGTTCCCATAAAGTCTGTTATTGATACACCAGAAACAGCATTGGGTTTGCTGTAGCTTTGAATACCAAAATTAGTAGATGCTAGTTCTAAAAATGAGAAATTAAACTTCATATACTGGTTCGGTGTGGGGTAACATGAAGGTCTCCTGTGATTGGTGTAAACCTGACTGATGGACGCAGATGGGTTAGTGAGCCCAAAATGAGACTTGAGGGACATTAATTCAGCTTTTAGAGAGCTGTTTTCCAATCTGAGAGCCACAATCTTGTTTTCTATAGCAAAATCACAGTGACGTCTCTTTTCTCTTGACTTTTTGGCAGCCATGTTGTTCCTTCTTCTCTTTTCCCAATAGCCGTCATCTTTCATTTCCTCGGGCACAAACTTCCGCTTTTGTCTTGAACTCCTGGGTCTCTTTTCCATAATGCTTGTCTTCTTAGATTTAAGGGAATGTTCACTTTCATTTTCTAAGAATCTGGACATGTTTAAACATGGACATCAAATTATTGGAAACAGGCAAATATGGATCTGCAAGAGAAATAAGGGTTACGCAAAAGATATGCAGGAATAAAAATTAAAAGCTTTTCCTTTGCTAAGGTAGTAGAAAAGTGACCACAATTTAAAGGGATAGAAGACAATAAGCTTTCTTTTGAAAAAAAAAAAATCTAAACTATAAATAAAGGAATAAAGAGATTATTTTTCAATATTCCGGCCAGATATCTATTGACCAATAAATTCCTAGAGAAAGGGTATAATAAGGAACAATTGCAGACAGAAGTCCAAAGAATAGGAGATATTCGCAGAGGGATCTCCTGATAGATAAACCTAGACCTATCACAAGTTCCAATGCCCAATATGAGTTTTCATTTAATACACAGTACAACTCAAAGGCTTTTGCCATTAACAAAATACTGAAGAAACATTGGACCATACTTCAGCATGATGAATATTTGGGGGGCAAACTTCCAGATAATCCTAGAGTTATATATAGGAAGGAATCTCTCATCCCATCTCACACCTAGTCTATTTTGCAATAAGAAGACACAAAATAAAGTGAACATTAGGAAGGGATTCTATACATGTGGATTTTGTAAGGCCTGTAGAGGCCAGTCATCCTATGTACACTGCTCATCTAGCTCTAATATAGGAGAGATATTTAAGATTCAGAAAAGTGTAACATGTTCTTCCACACATGTTGTGTACCTTCTCACATGTTGATGTGGTGCACAATATGTGGGAAGAACAGGAAGGAAGGCCAAAACCCGCTTTTTGGAACATCTAAATAATATTAGGAAGGGCATGCAGGGTCATACTGTCCCTGTACATTGTAATCAATGCCCACAGTTTAAAGCCCAGGCCCTTTCATGGGTTATTATTGAACAGGTTGCACTTGACGTAAGGGGAGGTGATATTGTAATGAGGTTAAGACAAAGGGAAGTATTCTGGATACACAAACTAAAAACACTTCAACCGTTAGGGCTGAACGCTGATTTTGATTTAATCTGTTTTTTATAATTCAAATTTTTTCATATATTTTTATATTTATTTTTATTTATTTCTTTATCTTTTTCATTCTAGACATGTTTGGTTTGTTGTCTCCAGAATCCTTCCCTTTATAACTTGTAATTTATCATTTTTAATTTGTTACTTATTATGTATAATTTATCTGTATAGTATAATAGGTTCTGATATATTGGAAATTCCAATGATGTTCGTAACAATATGTTTATATTCATTCTGTTGCATTCATTGCATCTATTGCTTCATCTAACATGTTGTACAGATGTTTCTATGTGGTTACACAAAAGCTAAATCTCATAATACTAATAATCTTTATTTCTATGTTACTGTTTTCTACATAATATGATAATAAGGACTGATTACAAGGACTGCCCTGATGCAAACTGAGAATGAAGTGGAACGCATGTGCGTTCCAGCTGGAGAACGAAGTGGAGTGCATGTGCGTTCCAGCCGCAGGAAGAGGATGCGGCCTAACCAGAGGAGGGGGATGGAAGGCTTCCGGGTCGGTGGAACACATATGCGCTATACGAACATCTGGCGGAAGTCCTTATAAGGAAGAAAACAAACGAAGAAGTGAAGACAGGTGATACAGTGATCGCGGATTGGTTTATTGGACTCTAACAACAACAGGAGGGACTTTTAAATAGAGCTTCGGCTCTGGACATGCTACAGCACTTTATTTGCACATAATTTGATTTTATTTATGTAACATTTTATTTCTCCTGAGGAAGTCTACATACAGTAGACGAAACGCGTAGAGCATATTTTTGTTATTTTATATTTTTATTGATTGCTTTATTAAATTTTGCCTGAGATTCCTGTGCTTAACCTCTACCACACTTCATCTGGACAGAGGGAACGCAAAGACTATTGATGGGCTTTTTTACTGCATGTATATCGTA